AAAAAAAAAAAAAACCAAATTGAATATTTCACACATACCTGCTCATACACACGCATTTACTTTTTTCTGGTATCTATATTTCTATTATGTATATATATATTTCCATTGTATATGTATATTAAATAGAAATATATCTAATACTATATTATTTTATATAACATGATATAGTATATTTTATATACATATGATATGCTATTATATATGTATAGAATACATTATACTATATATTATATAGCATCATATAGGTATGCTATATATTATTATACTATTATACATATAAGGTTTAAGGGGACACATTTCAGCCTTGAACAATTATATATAGATATGTTTCCATACATGCATATACTCCATTGAGGAGAAAACAGTTATCCTTTTGTTTTGTTTGTTTGTTTGCTTTTTTAGATGAAGTCTTGCTCTTGTCACCCAGGCTGGAGTGTAGTGGTGTGATCTTGGCTCACTACAACCTCCATCTCCTGGGTTCAAGTGATTCTCCATCGTCAGCCTCCCAGTAGCTGGGATTACAGGCACCCGCCACCATGCCTGGCTGATTTTTGTATTTTTAGTGGAGATGGGGTTTCACCATGTTGGCCAGGCTGGTCTCGAACTCCTGACCTCAGGTGATCCACCTACCTCGGCCTCCCAAAGTGCTGGGATGACAGGCGTGAGCCACCGTGCCTGGCCCCAGTGTGTGGTCTTGTATCTCTCACCCCCTCCTACCCTTTCTGCCAAGTCCTGCAGCCCGTTGTATCATTCTTATGCCTCAGCGTCCTCATAGCTTAGCTCCCAATGGATCTTTAATTGACATTCATAAAATTGACAGTCATAAAAAGTTAATTCACAGGCCCAAGCTGCTGAAAAATACTCAGAAAGATTTCTGGTAACTATACTGTCAGTTTTTCAATTAGATTACATCAATTAAGGTAGAATTAGATAGTGACATCAGTTCCTCTGTAGACAGGCTACATTTCAGACACCCAGGATCGCACATGGCTGGTGGCTTCTGTCTTGGTCAGGCAAGGTTAGAAAAGCATCTTCTGTTTTCGTATTCTTTGATGTGGTGGGGTTGGGTAAGGTGATAATTACACTAATTATACTCCTCACATTGTAGAACCATCTGCATTTTTGAGAAACTTGATATGGGGGCAGTTTCACACTAAATGAGTCTCTTCTCTGGTGGCTCTTAGAAAAGGGCTTTCCTAGGAAAATTTTATGATGCATTTAAATTCCATCTGATTTTCCCCTGTAGAATTTCTTGTATTACATTTCTAAAAATAAGGCACATGGAAATTAGGTGCATTTTACATGGAATAGGAAAGGCGCAGGAGTTTTTAAATAGTGGTTTCTAGCATCTGTGCTGCCCCCTCTTGGCAGCACACGGTATATTAGTACATTCTTTGGAAGTCATTTTATTTGCAAGTCTAATTCAAACTAAACAGAGATAAAATATTTTATATATTTACTTGTTTATAAGTTTGACAAACCATATTAGTGTCCAGTGAATTCATGATGCCTATTTAAGATTAAATGGATGAAAATGGTTTAGTATATAACATGTAGCAATTATTTTACTTCGTGAACTTGTGAAAATCTTAGAAAATGCCTCATTACCATCTTGATATATTGCTTTTACAAAGAACTGCGTCTCACCCTGTATGGGTAGTGCAGCTTCTGAAAACTGTTTTTTGTGGGGCTTTTTTCTCCTTTTCTTTTGACCTGATGCACCTCTCTTCTGGCCTGGCCCAGGGAAGTTGTATTCATGGGGGCAGAGACATGGCCCTGCCTCTGGTTCAGGATTCAAACAATGCCTGTGCTTTTTGAATAAAACTTCAAAGAAATTCACTGTACAGTGGACCACTACAGAATAGATGGACCTAAACAGGGAGGCTTCATCTTGAATAACTTTTTTTT